GGAGTGAAATGGGAGATATCTGTAATACTATCAACAATAAAAAATATTTTTTTAAAAAGGGGGTGGATGAACGTAATATTCCTATAACAACAGAATTGTAAGGCCCGACTGACAGGAGAGGCCAGGCACCTCTGGGCATGGATGGACACGTCAGTGCCCCCCCCCTACCCCACCCAGGTGGCCACCAGCGGTCACCCCGACCACCACACACCAGTGAGAACTCAGAGTCAGCACGAGTCATGTTTCACAAATGTGTGACACTCACAGGAAACTCGGGGACCAGACACTAGCAGACAAACGCTGGATGGAGCTTTCAAATGAAATAAAAATAAAAACAAACAAAAAAATGTGGCGAAGAAAAGTGGGTTTAATGTAAGCTCCAATCTAATGAATTCGGTTGCTGGACAAACGTATTGTAAATCTGGGACGGACTCAGTGCCAAAGCCTACTTTAACCTGATATCGAGCTTCCGGGGACATCCACACGACACAAGTGAAAATGGGAGTGAACGCCCGCGGACCGAGTCCATTGTTTTGAATCACCACCAGAGTCTTAGAAATGGGCTGCTCAGAAGCCACTGAGAAATGGCAGCAAATGCCCGGCCGGCGAGGCTCAGCGGTTGAGCGTCGACCTATGAACCAGGTCACAGTTCGATTCCCAGTCAGGGAACACGCCCGGGGTTGTGAGCTCAATACCAAGTACGGGGCGTGCAGGAGGCAGCTGACCAATGATTCCTCTCATCACTGATGTCTCCCTCTCGCTCTCGCTCTCCCTCTCCCTTCCTCTCTGAAATAAAAATCAATACAAACATATTTTTTAAAATTTGTGATGAGTCTATTAAAACCTATAGAACAACAGGGCAAAAAACTTGTGGGGGGGGGATTTCAACATCCAGAATCACACAGTTCCAGCCTGATAGTTTTCATTTTTTCTTCTTCCTTTAGGAAGATGGTTTCTTTAAGGGATGTTTTTAAAGCAAAATGATCTTAAAATAATGTGACTAGAGAGCTACTGTAGTTTTTGGTGACTCCACCAATGAATTCATATCTGAAATTAAAATAAGAAAATCACCAAAAAGGTTATTTCATATATTTGGCTCAAAGTTTTGTTTTTATTTTATTTTTAATATATTTTTATTGATTTCAGAGAGGAAGGGAGAGGGAGAGAGAGATAGAAACATCCATGATGAGAGAGAATCATTGATCGGCTGCCTCTTGCATGCCCCACACTGGGGATCGAGCCTGCAACCCAGACATGTGCCCTGACCGGAATCGAACAGGGGACCTTTCAGTCTGCAGGCCGATGCTCTATCCACTGAGCCAAACCAGCTAGGGCTGAGTTTTGTTTTTAAACCAATGGTTCTCAACCTTCCTAATGCCACGACCCTTTAATACAGTTCCTCATGTTGTGGTGACCCCCAATTTCACTGTTACAAAATTGAACATAATTAAAGCATAGTGATTAATCACAAAAACAATATGTAATGATAGATGTGTTTTCCGATGGTCTTAGGCGACCCCTGTGAAAGGGCCAAAGGGGTCGAGACCCACAGGTTGAAAACCGCTGTTTTAAACAAACAAAAACCCCACCACCTACTGTTTCTCTCATTCTCCATCCCCTCCCCCACGCTCACACATGCAATGAAACCGAATCCAAACTGGTGTCCAGGTACAGCTTCCGCGGAAGCCACTTGCAGACCGTGCTTCTTGGGTTCCCACGCATCTTCTAGGCCTCGCCAACCCCCGCACCTACACGCAACCGGCTGGGGCCAGAGGAGCGGCCTGGAGACTTACCAGGCAGCAGCAGGGCCAGCATCCCGCGAGCTGCAGCACCTGTGGCTTAGAGCCGCCCAGCTGGATCCCTGCCTGCGGGGAGAGAGCACAGGTCAGCAGGCACCCAGGAGCAGTGCCTGCAGAACCGGACACCCGGGCCCCCCTCACACCTCCCCCCCTCCTCCCGGACTGCCCGGCTTCTCCCTCTTCTCCACACTCACTTCTCCCAATAATCTTGCCGTTGGGTTAAGAAGAACCACTAGCAGCCCAGCTGGTGTGGCTCAGTGGTTGAGCGTCAACCTATGAACCAAGAGGTCACATCAGGCTCAATCCCCAGTAGGGGGCGTGCAGGGGGCAGCCAATTGATTCATGTATGTTTCTCTCTCTCACTCTCCCTCTAACATCAATAAAAACATGTTTTTTTTAAAAAAGAAAAGAAGGCCCTAACCGGGTTTACAGCTCAGTGTCCATGGTGCCTGCATTTTCTTTTTCTTTTCTTTTTTAATTAAATCTTTATTGTTCTTGATTGATTTTTTACAGAAAGGAAGGGAGAGAGATAAGAGTCAGAAACATCCATGAGAGAGAAACATCAATCAGCTGCCTCCTGCACACCTCCTACTGGGGATGTGCCCGCAACCAAGATTTTTGTCTCAAGGAATGTGAGGGGTGGTTTTTTTTGAGGTTCTATGACAATCACCCTTTGCCCATTTCAATTAAAACGGGATCCGTCTTGACAAATGTTAGGACACAGCCCTGAGCAGCGAGGGCCATTTCGAGCCGTTTCCAGGAACCGGGGCACGGGGAGGCGTGCGGGCTCCTGGTTGTGTGTCCTGTTTACAGCTCAGTGTCCCTGGTGCCTGCATTTTCTAAAGCACAAACGTTTCCCACAATTTAGTAATGACATCAAAGTGGTGTCTTAGAAGGAAAGAGAGACAAAACACTTCAGGAATGGCCTAAAGTTAAAGCTGTTTAAAAAAAGAAAAGGCATTCACAGTTTGGAATTAGGGCATCACAAGCACTTGGGAAGAGGCCCAGGTAGATGTGAAGTGTGCGCACACACACAGGCACACACACGCACGGACACGCATGCGGAGGGCAGCGCGGCCCCGTGGACGCGTGCTGGTACCTGCTCCGCGCCCGCGAAAGCATGGTAGAAACAGGACACGTACGTCATGATGGCCCTTTCGTCCGGTTTGGGGGTGTTGACAATGTCTGAGGGAGGGAAAAACAGCACAGAAAACACACACACACACACACACACACACACACACACACACGAAGAGCAGAAGCCATGGTGAACAAGAGAAGGACGAGTGGTTCACACCCACAGGTTCCCTGGCTCTGGGCCCGCACCCCGAGCCTCGGATGGCACCGAGATGGTGCAGGAGCGCAATGATTTGAACCTTCGTTTCCTAAGTGATCAAACTGAGGGCTTTTCCCTCCCTCACCTTCAATGGGCTTTTAAAAGTGCAGACAAGGCAGACTGGCCAGCGTGGCTCAGTGGTTGAGCATCCACCTATGAACCAGGAGGTCACGGTTCTTTCCTGGTCAGGGCACAGGCCTGGGTTGCGGGCTCCATCCCCAGTGTGGGGCGTGCAGGAGGCAGCCGATCCATAATTCTCTCTCATCTTTGGTGTTTCTATCTCTCTATCCCTCTCCCTTCCTCTCTGAAATCAATAAAAATATACTTAAAAAAATAAAAGTGCTACAGGGCATTAATGTGGGAGCCATGTGCTGTGGTCAGAATCAGAGTGAGTGGCCGCTCACTGCCACAACCTTTTGACCAGGTCAGGCCCTCCGCCACTTCTGCTGGGAGGGACGTGGGTCCCTCTGTGATATGTTGGGAGCGGCAGCAGAGTCCCTGCCCATCTCTGCACCCCACCCACCCCCTCCGCACCCCTACAACTGTCCCCGCTCTGCTCTGTGACCAGCCTGCTGCTGCAACAATGAAATCCACCGGACAAGCGTGTCTTGTGATGCCTCCACACGTACTTACCACGCCAGTTACAGAAATCCCCAAGCGCCACGACACATCAGAAGAGAAGGGTGTACGTGGCTGGCACACCCACGGCTCTTGCCAGCATTTGTATTAGCTGCTGAATTAACCATCAGGAAGAGAGGAAACGGAACCGCGGCAATGCCAGATTCGCTGACTCGCTTTTCAACTTTAAACTGAGCTCAGCCCAGCCGGCGTGAGCCAGGAGGTCTTGGTTCAATTCCCGGCCAGGGCACATGCCCGGGTTGTGGGCTCCATCCCCAGGGTGGGGCGTGCAGGAGGGCAGCCAATCAACTCTCTCTCTCAACACTGATGTTTCTCTCTCTCCTCCTCTCCCTCTCCTTTCCTCTCTGAAATCAATAAAAACATATTTTTTTTAAAAAAAAGAAAGAAACTGACATCAGTCACTGGACAGAATGAAGTTAAAAAGACACCTGGTGATTCCCCAACATGAAACCTCGTCCAACCTAGTCACTGGGTTTGCAGAGGGCACTGACAGAGAGGATGAGGGGTTGTGTCACGGGATGGAATCTTCCGGAAAACAACCACGAACGACGGCATGCTGGTGCACAGACAGAAAGCAGGTTTCAAAGAAAACTGCACTGAAAAAAAGACACACAACTGCCGCCTCGGGGCCGGATGGGCCTCCTTACTCGGAGGAGAGGGTAGAAGAGAAAAACGATGGAAAGAGATGGAGACACAGAAGGTGAGGGGTGGGCGGCGACCGGCTTTCCGTCCTCACCTTCTGGGCACCAGCGAAAGCATGATAGTAACAGGAGACATAAGTCATTAGGGCGCGCTCGTCGGGCCGGGCCGTGTCTACCACATCTGCGTGGAGAAAACAAGGTTAACTGCCCACCGTGCCCCACCTCTGGGGGCCGGAGCCGGGGACCTTCCCTGCACCCCACGCGCTCATGTCGTGGACACTTGGGCTCAAATCAAAGACATCACCCCTGTACAGGCACTGCCTCGCGCACGGCTGAGAAGCACCAATGGAAACGAAGGGATGGCCGAAGGGAAGGGCACCGGGCTCAGAGTCGGTCACATCCACGGCCTGACTTGGACCTGATTCCACAGGGCGCACATGGCGATGGCCCCGGAGACTCCCATCGCTGTGCGCGGGGCGGCCGGGTCAGAGACCCTTCTTCGGGTCCATGCAGAACAGGTGCGGCCGCACACCTAGAGCGGGGACCAAACTCGAGAGGTTGTGGAGGAAACCAGGGAAGCAAGGTTCATGTCCTTTTAAAAGCACGAAGACAGCCCAGCCAGCGTGGCTCAGGGGTTGAGCGTCAACCTATGAGCCAGGAGGTCACGGTTCCATTCCCGGTCAGGGCACATGCCCGGGTTGCGGGCTCGATCCCCAGTGGGGGGCATGCAGAAGGCAGCCGGTCCATGATTCTCTCATCATTGACCTCTCTCTCTTTCTCTTTCTCTCTCTCTCTCTCTCTCTCTCTCCCTTCCTCTCTGAAATCAATAAAAGTACATTTAAAAAAATAAAATAAGCATCAAGACAATAGGATGAGGCATTTCTGCAGCTTGTATCGCAGATGACAGTTCCAATGAGCCCCCAGAAAATTCCCACGTGGGGTGCAGAGACCAACACACAACAGGAGGTCCGGTCAACGGCAGGCGGCGGGATGAGTGAGCTGGGAGGGGACCAGGGCACAAGAGGACAATACGAGTGGCAGGAACAAGAGAAGTTAAGTCCGAGGGTCGGTGGCAAAGACACGGAGGCTCACGTGGGGGCTTGGCTGGGCGGGTGGGTTCATCATAGCGTCGCCACACACCTGTCACTCAGAAGATGCTCATGAGAAGTTACTCTACCAAGAAAATAGTATCGCTTTGGAGAATTTCCCTGAACCATTCAAAAAGATGAACGGAAGTAATGGGAGGCGGGGGTGTACCACAGGGAGGAGGCGATGAATAGCGTGCTCGCATCCCATTGGCTGCAAAGGATGCACCGAATGGCGATGTGCCCCAACCAGGGCTCAGAGACCAAGGAGAAACTCAAGAACAAGACGACGCACAGCAGGCCGGACAACAGTGAGTGAGCCTGGCTGCCCTTGACTGTAGACAGTAGGGGGCATGAGCGAACGGGAAGATGAATGTACTAAATGGCAACAGTTTTCTCCTCCCTTTAGCATCTTAGCTATTTTTTAAGAAATATATTTGTATTGATTTCAGAAAGGAAGGAAGAGGGAGAGAGAGATAGAAACATCCATGATGAGAGAGAATCATTGATCGGTTGCCTCCCGCCCTCCCCCTCCCGAAGATTGAGCCGACAACCTGGGCATGTGCCCTTGACGGGGAATCAAGCCCTGGACCCTTTGGTCCATGGGACGACGCTCTATCCACTGAGCTACACCAGCCGGGCAGTATCATAGCTATTAATTCAAGTGAGTAAGCGCTGGGTAGTCATTACTGTATGGACAGGTCAAGGAGAGGCCGCACAAATGCAAACTTAGAGAGGAGAGAGGGAGAAAAAGGGAAAAGAACCTTTCTCTGCTGCTTTATTGACTTTCTCCCTCGAAAGAGTTTGGAGAAACCATAAGTAGAATTAACACCTGTAATACAGGTGTTTGATAGATAAAAGGTTAAATTAATAAACAGGTAAAACTAGAATCTTAACGGAAAGATCGATGTTTTGGCCCCTCAAAAGATATGTGAAGTCCTACCCCCGGTCCCTGGAAATGTGACCTTATTTGAAAGCAGGGTCTTTGCAGATGTTCTATTAAGATGAGGTCCTTACAACAGGGCTGGGGAACATCTGGCCCGCGGGCCATATAAGGCCCGAGAAATCCTTTGGTCTGGCCCTGCCAAGGCATTAGGGGTGAGTTAATGAAATGTTCGGCTAAATACAGCAGGCTCATTTTTGAGTGGATAATTTTGTATGGCCCGTGAATATTATAACTATCCAAATGGCCCTTGGCAGGGAAAGGTTCCCCACCCCTGCCTTATAAAAAGGAAAGAGACAGACACAGAGGGAAGACGGCCACGGAGGGACGGAGACTGTGGCGATGCCACCCCAGCCGGGGGAGACCTGGGCCTCCCGAGGCTGTGAGGAGCCAGGAGGGTCCTCTCCGGGGGGAGCGTGGCCCGGCCAGCACCTCGGCTTTGACTAGAGCCTACAGAACCATCAGAGAAGACAGTTCTGTTGTGTTAAGCCACCCGGTGTCTGGGAATTTGCTACAGCAGCCGTAACGCAATCACCAAAAAGGAGAAGAAATAGAAGACTGACTATAATCAAGTTCTTTGCTTTTCCCAAAAGTGCAATTAGTGGAAGCAATGGGCCATGTTATAACTATCCAAATGGCCCTTGGCAGGGAAAGGTTCCCCACCCCTGCCTTATAAAAAGGAAAGAGACAGACACAGAGGGAAGACGGCCACGGAGGGATGGAGACTGTGGCGATGCCACCCCAGCTGGGGGGAGGCCTGGGCCTCCCGAGGCTGCGAGGAGCCAGGAGGGTCCTCTCCGGGGGGAGCATGGCCCTGCCAACACCTCGGCTTTGACTAGACCCTACAGAACCGTCAGAGAAGACAGTTCTGTTGTGTTAAGCCATCCAGTGTCTGGGAATTTGCTACAGCAGCCGTAACGCAATCACCAAAAAGGAGAAGAAATAGAAGACTGACTATAATCAAGTTCTTTGCTTTTCCCAAAAGTGCAATTAGTGGAAGCAATGGGCCATCAGAGGATAATATTGAAAAAAACATGGTAACACAGGTTCCTTGAGTTGGGGAGCCTTAACCCTAACCCCACCTTTCACATCTCATCACCCCCCTCGGTAGCCAGGGTCTCGCTCACAGTAAGTGCTCAGTCAGTGCCTGCTGAGCGATGCGGGAGTCATGAGTAAGTGGATGAATGAATGAGCGTCCTCCACCTCTGTGCTTGACACGGCTGCCCTGGGTACGACACGCGGGTTCATCGCACAGCAAGGGCGCAAAAGGCATCTGAAACTGTCCCCTGCGGGAGGAATGCTGAACGGCAAAGTACTTCGCTCCTTCCGACCTAGCGAAGCAACATTGAACTTGGACTAATTACAAGTGGGACGTGAAAATTCGAGAGGCGCAATCTCCTTGTCTGAGTCAATGCCTTCTAGTTGGAGGGAGGACTTTTTCCTCGGGGCGTCTTAAGCACCTCATAGGAAGATTTCTTTACTACAGTTGTCTCTACGGGGTAAGAAAATCTATGTTGTTAAAAAACTAAAACAGGACGTTTTTCTTTGAAAACCGCAAACCGAAGCATCCTCTTTGACCAGCTCCTCTCTCCATAGTTTTGCTGGCTTTTCTTGTGTGTATGTGTGGGATTTTTAAAAATAATTTATGAACAAGCTACTACTTGTTCCTCTAATACTCATTGAGGAGCCCTAATGCTCCAGATGAAACCTGGCGGTAAAGTTTTACAAATCCCCGGGCGTGGCCACTGCACACGCAGCCCCCAGATGGCGTCCACCCGCCCCGGCAGGTGACGCGGCATCTCACCTTCCGCGTCCAGCATTTTGGGAATGTCCAGATGCTTCTCCGCAATCTCCATGGCCAGGTTGATATTTCCCACTGGGTCGTCCTGCAGGGAAAACGACACATGCACATGTTTAACGATGTGTTTTTGAACATTTAGAAAAATGATTTAAAAAAAACCCACACAATCCATGCCCAATGCAATTCATAACACGGAGGCTCTGCGGGCGGGAGGGACCTGGCCAGGCATTTCCTCTGGGCAGGATCTGGAAGGTGTCTGTGGAGAATTAACCCGACACCCTTGTCTTAAATGTACAAAAGCACAGGCTGAGGAGCAGGAAGCCTGCCCTCAGGTGAGCACCTGTCATGGACGAATGAAACTCCGTCTGCCTGTCTAGTAAAATCCCTCATTTTGCAAATAAAGAAAGATTAATTGGAAAATTTAGACACTGTCTGTATGTTTGAAACATTTTAAAAACTCGGGGATAAAATATAAGCTTTGAAAAGCTGAGCAATTCTGGTCCATCCATTCCCTTAGGCCAGTGGTCGGCAAACTGCGGCCCCTTGAGTGTGGCTCTTCCACAAATTACCATGTGCGGGCGCACACGTACAGTGCAATTGAAACTTCATGGCCACACTCAAGGGGCCAAAGAGCCGCATGTGGCTCGTGAGCCGCAGTTTGCCGACCACTGCCTTAGGCGACCTTCTATCACAGCGCTGTGGTCCCATCTCAGGAGGGTGGTGAGTAGGTGACAGCTAGCACGGGCGTGCCAGCCCGGACACCAACAGCCATGCACGCCACACAGGTGAGGGCAGCATGCAGAGGGGCGGGCTCCCCCAAACACAGCAACAGGGTATGAGGGGCCAGCTAAGCGCACCAGCCACCGGGAAGTGGCCCTGCTGGGCATGGGGCGGGGGGGAGGGGACCGCCCGTCCTAAACCCTAAACCTCACGCAGAGCAACTGTCCCCCAAGGGGGACAGGCCCGGTTTCTTCCTCCAGCACAGGTCACATTCTTTAACCTCTTTGAAAGGAAGCGTTCACGGACTGTGTGAAACGTAAGCCCGCAGAAGCTTAAGCTTAAAGGGAGAGTGAACATTTCCTGAGTTTGGTTTTCCGAAGAGAGCAAACCCGAAATCAAATCCTCCAACTCCGTTTCTGAGGCGGCAACTACTATCTGCGCCCACAGGGAGATGATTACGAAACGCCCCTCGTGTGGGAGACAGGTTAATCCGTGCTCAGGCGCTAGGCCTTCCACAAAGGCCAAGGGCCTTGAGAAGAAGGCGGGGAGGGTTTGACCCTCCCCCCAAATGCACGCTTCCCTCCTCACGTCTACCATCCAGGGATGTCAACTCTCTAACACAGACCTTCAGCCTCCTTTGTGGGGCTGCGGGCTGCATGTGTGGGAGGTGGGGGGGCTCGGGCT